TTGTTCAGGCTGTTTTGGGGGGATTCGGGCTCGCCCGGAGCGGCTTGCCCAGGTTTTTGAGGGCTCGCCTGGATGGGCTTGCCCAGGGTTATTGTCGGGGCTCGCCTGGATGGGCTTGCTCAGGGCTCGGCTGGGGGGGCTTGTTCAGGATTTCGAGGGCTCGCCTGGATGGGCTTGCCCAGGGTAATTTTCGGGGCTCGCCTGGATGGGCTTGCTCAGGGTTTAGGGGGCTCGCTTCTTTGTACACACACACAGAGAGTATAGCATAGTGCCCCAAACCCCGAGTCTAAGTATGAAGGCCCTGACAGTGAGGAGTCTTTTTCGGGATGGCCCCACCTACCTTCATCCATGTACGAATCCTAAAATGATGGTACTACTAGCCAACTAACTATTCACGGAACCTTCTATATATCTATTATATATATGCATATGTATGTCTGTGAATATAGAAGGGAGTAAGGAGGGACTTTCTAGTTTTGGCTCCGGGGCGGGCCTCCTGCCGGATGAGTTCATCGGCTGGAGGATCTTAGGGAAAGGGGGGGTTGGGCGGGTTGGGAAAATTTAAGTTTCAGGTTTGTTTGGGCCTGCAATGATTTGAAAGGTTTAAATTTCAAAGATAAAATCGGGTGAAAATGCTAGATCGTGAATTCAGAAAGGATTGTGGGGTCCTCTAATAAATGGAAGCTCTTAAACTGCATAGCCTAATCTTAAGCGCTAAACCCAAATCCTTGTAAACCCTAATATTGCAGATCTGGCCAGGCTTGCCCGAGTGTAATTAAAACTAGAAATCTTGATCTCCAAACTCTATTATCTAAACCCTAGACCCGAGACCTTGGAGCCCGTAAACCTCAAGCCCCAAACCCTGACCCCTAGACTCAGACCTCCACCCGAAACCCTAGACCCTAGACCCCTAAACCCTAAACCCCCGCAAACCCCCTGTGCTGGCGGCGTTGAGACGAGGCGCGGGTTTAGGCGTACAGGGATACAGGGTGGTATGTGATGCTGGTTGCCCACAAGCTCGTCCGGGACTTCGGTCCTGGATGTCTGTGGGGGACCGGGTCACCGGGTTACGAGGTCCGAGCTTGCCCGGAGTTTCGGCTCTGGGCATCCGGACCTCAAGGGGAAGATCCGAGCTTGCCCGGAGTTTCGGCTCTGGGCATCCGGACTTCAAGGGCCGGGGAAGATCCGAGCTTGCCCGGAGTTTCGGCTCTGGGCATCCGGACTTCCAAGGGTCCAGAGTGCCGGAGAGTGAGCGCCCGAACCCGAAAGCTTAAACCCGCAAGCAAAACACCCGCCCCAAAGGAGACGAGTCGTGCCACTCCGGTGCTCGCGGCTCCTTGCCCCCAGTACTTCCTTACACTTGCAGTTCTTCTTCGTAATTAATTGTTGTGTATGCTAGTTCTTGACGCCGTTACTGAAACACTGTATGACAGTCCGAGTCTAGTTCTAGTTTGGTCAATAGCCGCCTCTGCACTACATTATGGGTAAACTATTTCGAAATAACGCACTCTTTAGCAGAAGATGATTAACTGTTCATCACTGCGACAAGCCTTGCGAACAAATGATTCTTTACGTGCTGGGCCTGAGCTTCTGGAATATATTTTGTAATACTGCCAAAAGAAGACCATGGAATCAAGATGTCTCAAATACTACTAAGACTAAATAAGACCTTGAAGATTTCGAGGTGCAGCATACAAAACATCACTGAGGCAACAAATAATCGAAACAAGCCACAAACTCGAAGCGTATACTTCCAGCATCAGCAACGGCTGCAACAGTAACCCCTTGCGAGTGATCAGATCACCTTAAATTTTGAATTTGTTGAACGGTAAATTTGCCTCTAATTTGCTACCAGCCGCCTCAAAATTTATTACCTATGCTGGTTTGCCGTCTGTGAGTTCAAGTCAATTACCACTCAGCAACTATTCTTCATTTCTGGATTCAATAGGCAGCGGCAATCAAGGGAAGCATCCACTATCTGTCAGTGGTATTCAATCAGCGAAAGAATTGCTTTGCAAATCGTACAAATTATGAGTCGTTGAAGTAGTGCTAGTAATATTAATTACCAAAACCAACTATACAAATTTTGACGCGGCTGCTGCTGGTAAATAAAGAAGGCGCTTCGAGCTTGTAATGGTTAGCTTCGTTTGTTCAATCAATTCTGTATGCTGTGTCGGAAAGTTCTCGTGGATGTACGGAAATCCACACATTGTTGCTGTATTCTTGCTATTAATTCTGAATAAAAATATATTAACTATTACTATTCTAATCACATGAAGCAGCAACGGTTGGGCGGTTGCCAACAATAAACCTTCTCCAGGCGATTAAATTGCCTCAAATTTGAGGCTCACTCTCAAGTTTGAATCAAAATTGGCATCAGCCGCTTCAAAATTTATGTATTTGTTTTTCGGTAAGATCTTAGGCTCTTGCTTAAAATCAACTCCTTGTGGCATATCACGTGCAAAAGCGATTTGTTTCGTTGGCATTGAATGCTCCCCTTGCCTTTACCTATGAATCTAGAAATGAAGAATAGTTGCTAAGTGGCAAATAATTAATTGAATTGAACTCACAGAAGGCAAACAAGCATAGGTAATCAATTTTGAGGCGGCTGATAGCAAATTAGAGGCAAACTTGAATGGCAACAGATTCAAAATTTGAGGTGATCTGATCACTCGCAGCGGGTCTATTGTTGCGGCTGTTGCTGGTGTTTGAAGACCTAAGAATATGGTTCAAATGCCTCGGCTGGTTAGCCACAATTTGTGAGTCAGTTTTATCCGCGGCGCCTGAAAGCTGTTAAACCCTTATTGACATACGAAAGGTTGAACAATGGCGCCATTTACTTGTTATTGTGATCGTTACCTTAACGGCCGTCTTATCCGAGGCTGCCTGCCCGTTGGCTGCTTGCTGCCTTGGCGGCGCTTCGCAGTCCTCGAGGCAAGAGCAATATTGTTCGGGATCATGAATTCCAGTGGGTTTTCCGTGCCCCTGTAAATAAGTCAAGACTCTTCAAACTGTAACAGTAGTCTTCACTGTTCTAGGGTTTCTGGCTAAGAGAGAGAACGAGAGCCCTCATGCTCCACGACCTCGCTTAACGTCTCAGCTAACTGACCCGTACCCATTGTCGGCCAAACCCTTTGGCATTGTCTCCAGGGTGTACAGGGCATTGGCACGTACGATTTTATTGTTGCTTGCGGGGCCATGACAATACGACTAATTTTGAATAGGGTTCGGAAACTGTCAATGTTGGACTGTGTGGTGCTTCCTTCGGGTTCTACGATGGTGTCAAGGAGCCTTTGACATGGTTAAGAACCCGACCCAGTGCCTGTCCCACCGCTCGTGCTTTCTGCTGCAATTTGGGCTTCCGACCATGGTTGGAGTGCAAGGCGTAGGCACGATAGTTAGGCTAACTAAGCCTTTGGAATAATATGAGCATATGCCCTTACAAGGAACCTAGGACTACAAGATTGGAATAATTTAAGGGTACTATTGGGCATCCTAGTTGCTTAGATATGAATCTTACAAATGGCTGAATGCCTTAGCCTTGGACTGTCTAGGCTGATGCCATAGAGGTGGCTGGTGCCTGAGTGGCTAGTGCCTTAGATATGAATGCTCAGCTGCTCGGCGGCCCTTCGGGAAACCTAAACTATACCATTCATGTTGCTTCTTGGCTTGAACTAAGTCACTAAATAAACTTTGAATTCGATAGTTCCCACTCATCGAAGCCCCGGCACTCATCGAAGCCCCGGCCAACTAGTTTCACAACATGTCTTCCCGTTCGCGGTCTCGCGGCTCTGCTGGTTCTGGGGACGATCGCCCGTCGGCGTCTGCTGCGGCTCGCGGCTCTGCTGGTTCTGGGGACGATCGCCCGTCGGCGTCTGCTGCGGCGCAGCCTGCTGCTTGGCGAGAAATAACAGTACCTTTTATAAGTATTCGGGGATGATTCTGATCATGTTCATAAACTGCAGGCGTCGCCGGCTTCGGACTTTTCAGAGCACCTCGACAACATGGACACCCAAACACTGAGGGCGATGCTGCGGCTCCAACACGACCCGTCAGCTTCACAGTTGCAACCTGAAAGTTTTGTTTGTCGGATCGGGTTCGCTCAAAGCCCTCCGTCATCAAATTAGTTGATGTGTTGATATGAAATTGCAAGCTAAGGCTCCTGTTTGGTACGAGCATGACGACGAGAGCCCCACTTCTGTCGCAACTCGTTGGGGCAAGGAGTTGTATTTTTGAGGTGGGTTGCGATAATAAATAGTTAGAATATATTGATCTTGGCCCAAGAAATTGTGAGCCCAATCGAGGTGCCAGTGGAGTCTGGCGAGGAGGAGGCGGCTGGTTCTGACCAGGAGCTGCGGGAGCCGGCGGAGGAGCCACAGGGCGAGGCAGCCGCGGTGGCGCCGGAGGTCATGGTGATAGCCTTGTTCTTATGTGGTTTAGGGGTTTGTCCGGTGGTTGTATGATGTTTAGCCGCTTGAGATCCATAGTAAATGATACTAAGTCTCTTGTGCGAGGCGGATGCCGGACAGCCAGTGCCAAAGGCCAAGGCCAAGGTGCCTTGTCTCATGGGGTTTAGCGGTTTGGCGGCTTATCAAGGTTTTTTGTATGTATAGCCGCTTTTATTCAATAATAATACTAAGTCCGTTGTCTCAGGGCAAGAACAAGGCCTCGAAGAAGGAGCGGGATCGCTTGAAGCGCAAGGAGGAGGCCAAGGCTGCCTCTTGGACCTCTCTTAGTAAAGTCTTGCACTCTTCCGTGTATGTGAAAGATTTGTTCGAATTAGTTTTCGGCGTAGTGATTTCCGTCAACCCGGAACACTCATTCCAAGGCGAAAGCCCTGCTGCAAAGTGGCCACGACACAAACGTGTCGCACCTGCACTTGCATCAGAAGCTTCTCTGCGACATAGCGGACGCTTGTCCTTTATTCAGCATCTTGTCTTTTTTTGGTTTTTCCTTTCGGGGCTTTCAGGCTATTTCTGGTCGAATAGCAACCAGCCAAGGAGTCTCGCACCTTGCTGCAGCGGTACAGGACGGCGTGGGAGTGGTACCACTCCCACGCCAGTACCACTCCCGCGCCAGAGTGGCAGGCCTTGAACTTCCCGTCGATCCCGGCAGCGTTTGGCCCGGATCACGTTCACCGGGAAGGGCCGGGTGACAAGGGCCTGATGCAGGCATTGCTTCATGAGCTCGACGTGCCTCGGCTTGATTCAACCCTTATTCCCTTGTTTAGGGTTCAGGTTCCCTTATAAGCCCCTTTAAACAAAAAAGGGCATCCTTTTTATCCCTAGGTTACTCTTGGGGCTTATGATTCGGCTTGTGGACGTTTGGCCCTGGCAGGATCTCGTGAGACGGCTCTGCAAGGCCTACGAGATCCTGCATCAGTGGCACCGCCACCTGGAGCAGCATGGCGGGGACCACAGCCCCTATGTGGCGTGGGTGACACCGCCGCCACGTTGCTCGTCGATCACATTCATTCGGATTTTTGGTTAAGGACCTAGAGCAGGCCCTAATTCCTTTTTTGAGGGTTCGGGTTCCCTTATAAGCCCCTTTAAACCAAAAAGGGCATCCTTTTTATTCCTAGGATACTCTTGGGGGGACGGGCTTATTGCCAGTGGTGGCACTTAGGGTTTAAAAATCAATGATTTTTTAGGGTTTAGGGTTCAGGGTTGTCTTGGTTTTTTATTGATGCCAAGAACGGCCAGAGCCTTCTGCGCCGGCGAGCTCTTCTGCGGCGAGCTCTGAGGGCCAGGGCAAAGGCCCCGGCAAGGGCCAGGGCAAAGCCCCTGGCAAGGGCCAGGGCAAAGCCCCTGGCAAGGGCAAAGACAAAGGCCCTGCCCAGGGCCAGGGCAAGGGCAAAGGCCCTGCCAAGGGCCAGGGCAAGGGCAAAGGCTCTGGAAAGGGCAAGAGCAAAGGCTGATCCACGGCTTAGGCTTGGGGGGTTAGCTTTAACATAATAGCCTTACGTAAGACTTAGAGTACAGCTAAGCGCCTTGAATAAAGCATCGGCCGTGGTTCGCTGGCCGCTCCTGCCAGAGAGGGGTGAGTTTCAGTTTCACGCCGTGCCGTGTGTGCGGGGTAGATTTGTAGGGTGTCGCAGGCCAGATTTCCTAGGCATAGGCCGGGTTGGGTTAGCATATTTGCAGACTGACTACATTGGGTTTAACAAAATGCATGCACGGCCGGCCGGCAGCTCGTTTTGTCTGAGCTCGGAAAACCAGGCTTCGGGTTTCGGGCTTTCGGGGTTTGGGTTCGGGTCCGGGAGACAGGGCTTCGGCTATCTTCGGTTCGGGACTCGTGGTCTGCTTCGGTTGTTGGTTTCGCTTTGGTGTTGTATCGGGTTCAGGCGTTCCTTTGACCTTGGCTCCAAAGCCTAAACCCGAAACCCCAAGCCCCGGGCCCGAACCCGTTCTAAGCAGCAATGGTCAACGTCCGAACCGGACGCGTACAAACCGCAAACCCTTAGACCCGAAAACCCAATCCAGAAGCCCGTCTGAGCTGGAAGCATGACACTAACCGCAAACTTCCATAATCCCAGGCCCTGCTAACCCCAACGTCCGAACCGGTACCCCTAAACCCTAGACCTAATCCCAGGCCCTCCTAAACCCCAGCGTCCGGCTCTTTGGGCTGTGTCGGTGTAGGGCTCAGTATCTCTGCCTGCAGGTCCGCCCCGGCTGCTGATTTGGCCGCTCCGTCAGTGCCGGCTCCCAGGATTGAAGTGTTCAGAGCTATTTAAGGGTTTAGGGTGATTAGGGGTTAAGGTGTGTCACCCAGGGTTCGCAGATATGACTCTTTTGCCTTCCGATGCTTGAGTAGCTAGTAACCGTACCTCCTTATGGTGCTCGTCGGGCTAGAAGTTAGGGTTGGGTTGGAGGGAATTGAGTGCAAAATTCTTTAGTTTCCGTATGCTGTTACACAATGTGTAGCAAGTTTTCAATTCATGTGAGACTTCAATTATTCAGACCCGATGAGATTGGGTTGCATTGATCATCAAGCCCGCCCACAGGATCAAGGTTTCTGTAGAGGTTTGTTGATTCCCGTTTGGCACTGGCTTCGTTCGTAGAGCAAGGAAATCACAATGGCTTGTGTTGGGTACTTATTCGGGTCAAGATTCCTGATCCTTAGTTCTGAACCCTACATCCTAGGAGTCTGACCTTTAAGCTTAAAGCACGGAAATGTGAAATAGTGAGGCTTTTTGTCTGAGTTAGGCTGTGTGTGTAGAGTATGATAGGAAGTGAAAGCAGAAGCTTAAACCTTAACCGTGCTTGCCCAGTCGGCTCCCGCTTCCCATACCCAGAAAATGCTGGCAGCTGGGCCCTTCCCAAACTTCTGACTTAAGTGGGGTGCTTGGGTTTTGGGGCCGGAGAATTCCCGTAGGCTTGAGAAAGACAAGGTTCGCTAGGCTAACCTTGGTGTCGGACGATTGTGTCATTGGACAAGTCTTTGCTCCGTATTGGTGTGAATGTCTAGCCTCTATCCATCTTACTTAAGGTCTGAACCCTCAAAGTTTCCTTACTCGGAGGAGGACAGGGAAATTTTTTGGTTTTTTCGGGACCAACAGGTTGTTTCTGGCCCTGACCCGTGGTGGCAGGAGATACCGGCGTTAGACAGACCACTAATCCAAGCACCCAAGCAAGGCTTCCAGGCCCGAGCTATGAGAACCCGTGGTAAGCTCACATCGTGCCGAGCAATCGCAGTGCTTGATATCGTACTCCCCAAATTGCCATCAACTATCAAAGGCTCAAGCCCAGCTCTAATCTGAAGCAGCTTGCGTTGAAGAGCACGAGACGCTGCTACTCTCAGCCACAGACTGGCAGAGGAATGACGGCAGCCCGTCGCAGCGGCGCAGACTCAATCAGACGCTGCTACTCTCAGCCACAGAATGGCACAAGAGTGACGGCAGCCCGTCGCAGCAGCGCAGACTCAACCCGCAGCCGCATCAGCAGGAGCGGTGGACGACCCGGAAGAAGCGGGAAAACTTCTTTCTACTTGGACTTGGGCGATTGTGCAGAAGTTGCAGGCCCCATTGACTTAACGAAAGCTACCGCTTTCAAACCCACAGCGGCATCGTGGAGCTGGTGGATGGACTTGGGCGATTGTGCAGAAGTTGCAGGCCCCATTGACTGAACGAAAGCTACCGCTTTCAAACCCACAGCGGCATCGTGGAGCTGGTGGACGGTGCATACGTAATTTGTCGGGGGTCCCTACACCTGAACCTGTAAGTGAGGCACAAACAGCCCTACATCCAGATTCACTCCGGGCTTCATAGGCACGGGCTAAGCAAAGAAGAGCGGCTTCGGATTACTTAGAGTAGATTGGAGGCCTTTCTGGTCTAGGCCGACTTGCACAGTATTAGGCATCCTGAGACTATAAGAGGACTATGAGGGTACTATAAGAGTACTGCAGAGGTCCCAACAGGGGTGTGTCTGAAAATTAGGGTACCTTCTTTGGGGTCCATTTGATTAGGATCCGACTATGTCGGGTACTATATTTAGAGCTCCCCTTTGTGGAAGCTCCTAAATATGTAGAAACTGGCATCACCTGGAGTGTTCAAAATCATCGTCTTCTTGAAGTGGTACTGACCCATATCCACCCTAGCTGCAGTCACTATTGTAGTTCATTGTTTTCGCTCATTGACCTAGTTTCTAGCCAGGATCCTATAAGGTAGCCACGAAAAGAAAGCGGAGAAAGTAGGATCCTGTAAGGCTGTCTAAAGAATAGAAGCACAGTAATTGGGTATTTTCCTTGGAACGCAGGTTCCTGGCCTGCTGGCGGCGTTTTTCTTTCTCGGCGTGAGTGTCGCAGTCTCAAGGGTTCAGGGTTTAAGTTTTGGGTTCAGGCTTTGGTTTGTCAGGGTTTCGTTTTTCTCGAGCTGTTTAGGGCTTAGGGTGCTGAGTTCCGGATGTGGCGACTTAGACGTAGGGCAGCTTCAAGTGTGGTTGTCACCTGAACTGGTTTCCAGCTTTTTTTCACCCGTGCTACTACTACTACTACTACTACGACTATGACTACTACTACGAGTATTAGTACTACTACTACTACTAGTACTACTACTACTACTACTACTACTACTACTACTACTAGTACTAGTACGACTACTATTACTACTACTACTAGTGCTATACGATTACGACTTCTAGGACTACTACTCCGACTAGTACGTACTACTACTGCTGCTACTAGTAGTAGTAGTACTACTACTACTACTACGACTACTACGACTACTACTATTACTACTAGTACTATTAGTATTACTACTACTACTACTACTACTACTACTACTACTACTACCACTACTACGTCCTACTACTCGTACAAGGAATTAGAAGTACAGTACAACAGACTGCAAGCACCATTGCTAGTACCTTCACGACTAGCACGCATCAGTGTTTCCCCCCATGGTAACAGTTTGGCTCCTTAGGATGTCCCTCTTGTTCCTTGGTGGTTCGCTTGTTATAAGTCCAGTATCTTGGGCTCGCTTTGAGGGTTGAGGACGGGGAACTTGGAACCTGAGGCGTTAGGGTTCAACAGCTACGGTTGGGGGGTTGGGTTTGGAGTAGCCTTGTTGTGGGGCTTGAGGACTTAGGCTATGTGTTTTGGAATTCTAAGTCCTGGGGTGTAAGGTTTTCCGCTTTTGATACGGTTCAGGGTCAGGAGTTTAGAGTTTCAGGCGTTTTGGGATGACGGCTGCGTCCTAGGACGCAAGAGAGTCAAGGGCGTCATTCCTTCTAATTTGCTGGCGGGCTGTCAGGTATTTGTTTCCCTGTGGCCTAATAGATAGTATAGAGGCGTCCTTCTTATCCTGGTGTTTAGATCTGAGGAGTTAGGGTTTAGGGGTCAGGGTTTAGGGTTTAAGCTTTAGGGTTTAGGGGTCGCGCACTTGCGGATTGGTGCCTTGGAAACTTAGTCCGTCTGCTGTCTGCTTTAATTAATTTAAGACTTAGTTTAGACTTGTAGCGCAGACAAGTTTCACGACCGTCAAAAGTAGCATTCGAAGTGGGATGCGACAACCAAGACTCTGGCAAAGACAAAATTGCGCTGGACGCTGCAACTCTGGAGATTGAGGGCGCCATTCGGGTAGTAGTAGTACAAGTAGTAGCAGCAGTAGCAGTAGTAGTGGTAGTAGTAGTAGTAGTTGTAGTAGTCGTAGTCATGGCAACGACTACCAGTCATGAGTAATGATGTCTTTCTAGAGATCATTTTATTCAATGTGTATCAATGACAATAGCGCCGAGGTCAATGAAGCTTGCGCTGTCACGGCGCAATGCTGCCTGAGGCCGCAGGGGACAGTGTTTGCTAGGGTTTAGCGCTTAGGTTCAAGGTTTCGGTTTAGGTTAGAGTCTAGGCTCTAGGGGTTAGGGTTCAGGGGTAAGGGTTCACGGGTTAGAGACTAGGGTTTAGGGGTGAGGGTTTAGAGTTTAGGCGTTACGGTT